GACAAAAGAATTTCCTGGTGGTATAATCTTTTTTTTTTAAAGAATATGAATTGAAGTAAATCACCACTTATTTATTTTTAAACTTAAAAGAAAATTGCCTTAAAGGCCATTGACATAATGTTTGAAAAAAAATATTATAGCGTTTGGAAGTAAGATGATAATAGATTATGTGTTTCAAATTCTGATCAGTTCCTTACAGCTCCAGCACCAATAGAAATAGAGTAGACTGTAAGAGTAAACTTCCTTAATTTCCATAATATGAAAAAAACCTACAAGTTTTCTGTTAGAGAATCATAACATTCTTGTTTGTTATACAAATGTAACCTTATGGAGCCTGGTATATATTTTGCGGAAGGCATAAAATGACTGAGGGAAGGATTTAAAAACCTATAGAGTTCATAGTTTTCCAGTGGAAATAAAACCATAACCCCCCCTTGCATTTTATGCCAGTTTTTACTGATTTTTCTTATGAAAAATCATTGGTTTCTTTCTTTTCTTCACCTGTTCCCTCCTATTTTTGAAACAGTATTGTTTATGGATGCATCAAGAATAAGCCAAAGAGAAGCTGTTAGACAGAAGCAGGCAGTGAAGTCCATAGTAAGCTGGCAAAGATCTGTTTATTAAAAAGCACATGCTGAAGGATGTTGACATAAACCAATGATTCCATGCAGATACTGTATGAGTCATTTCTACTGATGATTGTCAGTATATGCAGTATAATATTGTGTGGTTAATAGTTTAAAAGATAACAGAGGGTTGTAGGCAATTGTTTGCCAAAACTTTCATCTTCTTCTCAGAGTATACTTCGTCTGCATTTTGCAATTATTCAGAGCGTTGCCAGAGAGTCGAGAGTTCTTATAAACACTGCATGGGGAAGTACAAGCCAGCACTATTTTTTTCCTTTCTCATTAGAGTTAGGATTTGTGTGTCTTCAAGTCTTCCCAAAAGAGGAAGCCTCATAGGCCTGTAGTGGACTTCGCTGCTGTTCATATTACCTTCTGGATTTGTCATTTTTAAGCAGCCGTAATTCCTATTAATAAGATGCTTTGCTCAAGTTCTATTAAAACGTACTCTAGGAACCTGTTTTACTTTCCTGAATGTCAGGTTTCATTTCAAATAAATTTACAGCCATCATAATTAACTTCCAGGCATGTGATTAGTATGTGCAAGACCAAATAAAATAGTGAAAAAGCTATTTTACTTGTAAAATTTTCATTTTATGATCTACCTAGTAACTTTATAAATGTATTTGGGAAATTAGCTATGCAAAGAGATAACATATGAAACCTGGTCCTGATCATGTACAAAGTTTCTATGATAACTGTTGATTTACTACTTAAAAATAAGACTCTATATTCTTATAACATTTATTAAGGATATTAAAAATGAGTGTTTTATATATTATCCTTAACTGGACTTTTTGTTAGCAAAATATGTTGTTAGCAAGGAGCAATATATTTGAACAAGGTTTATCTTATTCTAATTGATAATTCTTTATCTTACCTAATTGAACGCAAAGGGATTTTACAGTAAATTTGACATTTGTGTTTCATAGCCAACAAGTTTTGGTAGAATTTTTTTTAACTTAGAATGATTTGATCATAACCATTTTTATTACAGTTAATGATTGAGACAAATTTTGATGGTATTTATGATTATTGCAAGCAAATTCCTCACTTTTAATATATTTAAACAAACATGAGACTCTACTCAAATATCCTTAAATACTGATGTTTCCTCTGAACAGACTTTGAAAGTTACTATTTACCCAAGGTCTCTGGTATTTTTTAAGCTGTCTCTCATTTGTGGGTAATTGATGCCAGCACTGAATGTTTATACACACAGAAAAATACTGTTACCTATTGATTTAATTTGAAAAAATTAAGGCTATTTTTTAAAAAAGTTTTAATCAGTTATAATTCTACTTGAATCTTTTATGTGTTTTTAAGGGCAGAAAATCTAAATAATTAGGAAATATAATAAAATGTTTATAGTTAATTAAAAATAAATTGATTCTAGTTGTAAAAGATATACAAAAGCTGTTTGTAGTGTGATGTAGTATTGTCCCAAATAAGACTGCTATTTTTTTTAATCATGTGGTTTCCAAGGATGCTGTAGGTATAACATATCTTGATCTCAGTAAAGCATTTGACCAAGTACCATTATGGATGGTAATACCTATTAATTGACCCCACAGTAGACCCATAGTGGGTTTAAATGAATTCTCATATAGTGATTTCTCATCAGATTGGAGAGAGATCTTATTATTAAATATTTTATTAGAATCTTGAGCACATACAAATACCATCCTGATGACACAACCTTAGATGTCTGAACTGAGCAAGAGTTTGGAATCAGTG